TTTGAGGCTTTCACGGCGGTGACTATGAAGAAAGCAGTCTTCTGGGATTTGGAACCGTGTATATGTGGTGTTAACCGACGTTTCGGAGGAACGTATCGCCTCCATCTTCAGGGTAGAAGGAAAAATATAAGAAATCTGCANGAAAATTTTAATAGATTTTATTTTATTTCATTTTATTTTATTAAATTAAGTGGACTTCAGCGTGCGATTCTAGCGCATATTAATGCAGTGTAGCAGTTTTAATATATTAAGACGCCTGAAGATGGCCATCTGCGGCCGAAACATGTTGTGTTAAAAGTGTAAGTGGAAGAAAAAGAACAATTTATTGCATTATTGACGGACTGTGTTACACATAGACGTTTTAATATGGCTTGCAACAGGATGCTTAAATGCAGAAGTAGTATTTATTTTGTTAAACACGGGGGCAATTTTACCTTCCCCCAACTTTACCTGAAAGACAAGAATTATAAACTAAAATTACAAAGCAAAAAAGCACGCATTTTTACTGCTAAATAAGAAATGGGAGTCAGACACGTAAACCGAAGCTCTAAGGATATTTACTGATATTTGAACGAAAATAATCTGAGTCTCGTAAGATTTGAGGTTTTCACGGCGGTGACTATGAAGAAAGCAGTCTTCTGGGATGTGGCTCCGTGTAGATATTGTGTTAACCGACGTTTCGGAGGAACGTATCGCCTCCAGCCTGTTTCGCCTGCTCACGCTGGTTCGCTCGCTGATTTCTTCTTGTCCTATACCCTGAAGATGGAGGCGATACGTTCCTCCGAAACGTCAGTTAACACAACATCTACACGGCGCCACATCCCAGAAGACGGCTTTCTTCAATCTGAATCTTGACGTCCGCAGTGTCTATACTACGTTTTAGTTTCAGTTTTCAGTTGTTTTTCTCAGTCTCTCCTAGCGAACCCCAGAACAACAGGCTGAGGTATGTCACTTTACTTCCTACACGTACCTTCAAGATTAACACTCGTGAATATTATCTTTTCTCCTTCAACGTTACGTAAATGGAAACATATAATCAGCCTCTTCGTGTGGAATTATAGAATAGGTGAGGCTCATAAGCTTTTATATATTGTGGCTATTGTCTCTAAGTGAACCTCAAAATCAAACGGACGTGAAAATATTTGATTTGGTTCATCCTGGTCGGTCACACTAGCACACATGAAAACACGTTTTACATGTTTTGGAATTTAACTGATAATTGACCTTTTTTGAGGTTCAGCACAGTCAACGTCCTCTTCTTCGCGTCTATTTTGGCGTGAACTAGCCATTTCAAGGACAACAGCATTTGTAGAAGTTGTGCGAAAGGAAAAAAAATAGTCAGTAGTAGGAAAGCTGTTACCAACGGTGCATCGGTTCTTCATCAGGTAGAAGTGTCATTTACTAATTATTCTGAGGCTCAAACTTGACGGAATTCTGGCAACTGCATTTTATTAGGTACATCGATGTTACGAGGTACTTGTAGTGTAAACGTCTTTCCTTATGAAGAACGTAAAAGAAATTTATGGATCTAGGAAATATAAACTTATGGCCCCGTATGTGTGCCCTGTATTTAGCATACGTTGAGAAACCGGAAATGCCATTATTATTTCTGATGGCTTATATGTGTTCTTTACGAGTATATTTGAAGATGAATACACTTCCTGCTTGTCCTATGCACTTTAGTGGGCAGTCTAGACATTAAAGTAAAGCTAACCCTGTAACAGGCCGTGAAGGCCCATAGGGCTGTGAGACGTTGAGGGTCCCACATTATCTAGACAATCGGCTCAAAGATGGCGGTAAGGTTGTCAGCCTTACGCACCGGCCGCGCTTTACTCCCCAGGAAAATTTTTTAATTAATTCCTGGTACTCATTTCTGTTAGAGGCTGAAGGATTAGGTCAGGTGAAAAAAATCCAATGACCTCATCGGGACTTGAACCCGCGACCTTCCGGCTTGTAGCATAGTCCCTCAACCAACTACGCTACCGCGTGCCCCTAGTCTGGACATTTCATTTGATAAATACCACTTCTGCTTTATTTACCTCTTTGTGAGTGGATTTTTAAAATGATTTTTATTGTGTTTTGTGTGCAGAAAGTTAATTTTTTGTGTGTTGGAACACAAGACACACAAGGCGATCCATGTGCTCAGAATTATTGTATCTATTCTTTATTTGTGCGATAGTTTATTTTTATTTGGATGCTGATACATTTTTTGTTGTGTATAATGGTTTTGATTGTTTTTTTTAATTTAACGAAATTTTAATATACAATAAATTATTTCTGCAAAACTTTTCAAAGTTAACTTCTATATTTCGCATTCATTATAGAAGTGTGACAGAAATACGAGTAGATCATAGAGCGAAAGAATTTTAGCAGGGCACACATACCTGATGAAGGCCGTATACAGCCGAAACATGTTTTAACAACATAATATGAATACGAGGCCGAAAATAAGCTTTGCATTTAAGGCGATAATAAGTATGTACGAAACTGTAGTAATAAGCAACAGGATACTTAAATACAACACTATTAATAATATGTAATTTTATTAAAACATTTGTAGAAAAGTGAAACAAATTATTTACATTGCAAATTTTACGCGAAGTACATCCACATGTGTTTGCTAACTGCTTATCAATGTCCGTTCTTTCCTTCAGCTGTACAGACGAGGCCCCCTCTCGTATTTCAATTTTGAATTCTTATTATTCAACTGTTACGGATTAGGCTCTCTCGCTTGCTGGCATCCCGAAGTAATTATGAAATTACGAATCTTGCAGTAGGACTCCTTGGACGTGTGATTAGTCCGCTACATACACAGGCCAACACAAACACAGAAAAACCCAGACATCAATACATTTTGTGGGTTTCAAATCCACGACCCTGGCATTTAAGTGGGTGAAGCCATCGTGCCTTAAACCGCGTGGATTATTAAGAATTAACTTCCGAGAATATGAAACGTTTATAAAATTGATAGGACTGCTTGGAAGGACAAGGTCTCTACCGACATGGGATAACAAAAAAGTCGCAAGTATACGTGCACTCCCAGACTGGGTTTCTCATGTATGACCTTGCTGCTCTAGAGCAATGGTTCTCAAACTTTGTGAGACCGCGGCACGGTACATTCTTCTTTAATAAGAAGAGGGCTCGGTACGGGGCCGCGGCCCGGCGGTTCAGAAACACTTCTCTAGTGGTCGAAATAGTATATGCGTTAGGCAGCGAGGTGACACTGATTGGCTGAATGCAGTTAGTCATATTTATAAATATACGCTTAGAGAAAGCAAACGTAACGGTATTAAAAGGCAGATCCTTCAGAACCCGCAAAGTAATCAGGCCAGGGGTGAATTCATTCTCAGTGGACTATAAGATGCAAAGTTTTAACACTGAATTGATTGATTTATCCTTGACACTGCAGAAACTGGGACAAGATATTCAAGGCTCTAATTCAGCGGCCTTACGTGCAACACGTCTTTCTAAGACATATTTAACAGTTTCTTCACATCACACTCATGTTTCGAACAAAACTGGTCATCATCAGGTGTTCAAAATTGTTGATGAAAACAGTTGTGCTTCCGTTTTGTATTTCAGATTTTTGATATATGATCCCATGTACGCGCTTGTTTATCCCGCGGTGAATGATAGTTCTTCTGTTGTGTTGTGTCTTTATTACAACTTATCATATTAGTAACTTTTCTATATTATGTTATCTTGTGCTGGGAGACTCTTTTTAATGGGTCTAGCAGCTGTCCAAATTTACCAAATATTTTAATAATTTATTACTTCAGTATAAATTCTGAGGCAATATTTGTAACACCAGATCTGGTTGGAGGATACCGTTATTCTGTTCTTTACTTGATCAGTGATAGATATTCTGTTTGAAAAATTGAGTATTCTAATCTGTGAGGAATATAGATAATTACTTATAGAAATATTATTATAGACTGGAAATAATTAGCATTTGCATACAAACTAAATAGGGGGCAAGCGGTAGCGTAGTTGGTAGAGGCACTATGCTGCAAGCCGGAAGGTCGCGAGTTCAATTCCCGATGAGGTCATTCGATTTTTCAATTGACCTAATCCTTCCAGCCGCACTATGGCCCTGGGATCGACTCAGCCTCTAACAGAAATGAGTATCAAGAATCTTTCCTGGGGGTAAAGGGCGGCCGGCGTGTAAGGTTGACAACCTTACCGCCATCTGTGAGCAGATTGCCTAGAAAATGTTGGAGCCTCAACGTCTCACAACTCTATGGGTCTTCACGGTGTGTTAACAAGGATAACTTTACCGTTACTCTTTTTATAACAACTAAATAGATATAAGGACTAAAAAATATTAGTAAATCTGTAGACGAAATTTGATCCTTTACTTAACACAGAACGAGACACTTTTTGGGAAAGAAAGTAATGGAGAAGTTACTTTCGTATTTTCAGGTAAATATTTAAGGTCTATAGGATTATTATAGTTTCAGGGAGCTCGAATTTTCTGCATAGACAAATCTGAAATTACTGAAGAAATCATTTTTTATTGCTAGTGGGGTGGGATTAAGTCCCTTGTACTGCGGCCACTTCTGGCCTATTGTACCAGCCCCAGATGATAGGTGAGGGTGAGTGTGGAGCAATTGGTGGAATGAAGATTGGCAGGGGAAACCGAAGTACTCGGAGAAAACCTGCCCCAGCGCCACTTTGTCCACCACAAATCCCACTTGACCAGACCCGGGATCGAACCCGGACCGCCGCGGTGGGAAGCCAGAGAATAACCGCTTGAGCTATGGCGCTGCCCAAGAGGTCATTTAATAATAACGTAATTATATAAAGCCATATCTGCCCTGAGGTCGTGCAAACTATCTACATAGCTGTGATGCTTTGGCAGGAGTGGGGAAAGAAGGAATTGTGGCGTATGACCTGCACACGGCACATGTTCATTCGAGATATCGTTTCCCCCCTTCCAGTTCTTAGTTGTTCGAGGAGACATTCAGCTGACACCGAAGGTTGATGTCACCGAGGAGTCACAGGCAAATAAAATGTGGCTGCAAAAATTCTCGTGAGCAAAGTTCAGTTCAGTGCAGCGCAGAAAAAACAAGAATTTCGTTATTTCAGAGAAGATGAGTGAATCGTAAGCCATTAAGTATTCAGTTAGCCACTGCAGTCCTTTCGTGAATCAGCGAGTTAGTTAGTCAGTTTTAATTTCAGTTCAGTGCAGGGTAAAGAAAGCAAAGGAAAAGTTGAATGCTGTGCGTATTGGCGTTGCGGTGAAGAAACGAGTGAACAGAAAACCAGCTTCAAAACCGTAAGTCGTTACGGAAGATGGGAAAGTAACTGTTTAAAACGTCGAGAAAAGTTACAACACTGAACAGAATGTAAGATACTCGTATATGATTAAATTACTCCTTTGTTGATAATAGAATTTGGCTTAGGAGAATGCTTGCAATATTCCATTCTAACGCTGAAGGATATGTTGCAGGAACATTTTCTTTCTTGTCGTTTATTTAAGGATTCAATCAGGCTCTCAGACTACACAGCGTTGAATGCATCTATGATAGCCTGCAATTAACTGGAAATAATGTGGAAGCAAGGTGCCATCATTCAATTTAAGGTTGTTATCCTTCTCTAATCGACGTCCCACTAATCGACAATTCGAGATATCGACACTCCCAGAATATTCGTTATTCCCCATTGTATTCACGATCCACATTGTACGCGAATTCGATCTGTTTAAAAGTATATTCACGTCGGCCAGCCACTCTCGTAGCATGGAAATAAACTATTGATGTTTTTTTTATCATATTCTGCAACTTTTATAATATAATTAATGTCATTATAGGCCCTACAATGAAAAGCAAAGGAAATGGTAAAAGTGGGTTCGTTTGCCAAATAATTGCTAATGGACATTTCACGCAGAAACTTAACGTCGATTAATGGGTAATGAGTATGTCATCCAGGCACTCGACATGAATAATTAATGGGAAATGATAATAACCTTTAATCAGGGTAAACAATGTTCGCCAGAGATGACACCCTAGCATGTTCCTAATACACATCAGAAGCTGTACTGCCTGATGCAAATTCTTTGCTATATTAGCAGTTGCAATTAATAGATAGCAATGTCAATAACTGCTACAGATAACAATATTGTCTTCTGGTAACGAGAGTGAGACGTAACTTGTTTTGTAAAAGCATGTATTCCTCGTATTATCCGAAGAAAGAATGACTAATTTAGGACGAAATGAGGAAATGCAGAAGAAGGCTACGTGAAAACAGTGACAAACAAGGGGAAAGAATGAAAGGATATTATTATCTATTGGCCAGTGTTCAGCTATATTGTCGCGTATCGGGCGTATAACGCGACAAATAACTTCACGCCGCAATTTATATAGCGAACTTTATTTCACACTCGCACTTACAATCACCCAATTGACAGTTTTACGATTACTGCTATCTGCAGTATCACAAATAGTACACTCCAAATGCCGGAATACAACTGACTAGTTGCTGGCTAACTCGGCGGTAGCTCCAGGACTCACTGACTGACTCAGTACAACTGACTGTGAATAGCCTTCGCTGCTCCCCATGTAGCCTTGATCGGACCATACGGAAAGCGGCCACGTGATAGGCACTCTTGTTGCCTGGCGCTGTGTTGCTAGTAACGCTAGCGGTAGTAACCGCTGTTACTACCGTAACAATCCTGCTGCGTCACCGTTACGTTACCGTGCGGTGGAGGGGGAGGGGAGCGCTGACTCCCCCGCCGCGTCATTGCTGGTGGGGGGGGGTTCTCGTTTGCGCAACATGTCACACTGCTCCCTTCTTAAGGCTGTTCGTCCCGAATAGCCTAGCGGTGCATCCCCGTTCCTTTTCCGTTCCGTAGCTGTGCTTGCAGTGTCTCCTGTTGTTTCGGCTCCTTTTCTTGCAGCGACTATTCTTCGTTCGTCACATCCGCTCCTCTCTTAAGACAAAGCTCGTCTCGAGCGGTTTCCTTTCAGCTCGCCAGAAGATCACATTCATCCATCGCTTTCTCACATGGCACATTCACTCTCAATGGGGAGGCCGGTTCTTCTATTTTACCGGCTCCTCTTCTGTGCCCTGCTCCTTTTTTCGTTTTGGAGGGGGTCGACCCCTCCATAAGGTCCACTTCCTTATCCTCCGTAACCCGTTGGCAGTACCGACTACTTGTGTCGCGAACCTTCCACTGAAGATCACGTTGCCGGTCTTCTCCCTCAGGCGTAGTAGTTCCTCCACGTCCTGTTTCCTTATGCCCTTGCTGCATTTCCGTTGTGGCTGACGCCGCCTCCCGGACGTCTGTCCTGTCACGGTTCCAGTCCTTCCTTTCCCGGCTTCTTGCCCAGCATTGACCCTCGTTGAGCATCTCCTTACGGGATCTCCCTTGCGCCACGTCGCACCTGCACGACTAGTCACATTGCTGTCGGCAGCCAATTCGTGCCATGGGCCACAATTTCCTTGGGTCGTAGATTTCTTGAAGATGTGGCGTTTGCGCCATGCCACTGTTGCGCGGCGGGACACCTTCCTGTGGACGACGGCCAATTTATTCTGGGGTCCGCAATTTTTCCGTGTCGGGTTCTTCTTACTTCGTCGCTTGTTTCGGTCCCTACGCCTTTTCTTCTTCGGTTCTCCGACCGGCATTACTTCGGCGTCTTGTACGGGTACCTCTTGTAATTCTGCCACCTCAGGTTTCCTGTTCGCTGAGGCCAGATCTTCTTCTTCTGGACGTGCCTCCCTTTCTTGGCAGGCCATCGTCACTCCGACCGGTATCACTAGGGGAACCTCTTCTTGTTGTGCCGTCGCAGGTATCGTGTCCACTGGGCAGGCCAACGTCTCTTCCTGCCAGGCGTTGAAGTCGGCGGCTAATTTCGTCAGCAGGCTATCTGCCTTTTCTTGATAGGATTTCATGTTGGCGTCCATTCTTGCCAGCATTTCCTCTTTGTCAGTTTTCCTATCGGCGTCTAATTTGGCCAGGAAATCTTCTCTATCTTTCTTCCTACATTCCTCCATATCGGCTTTCTGTCTGTACGCCATTTGCTCCAGACGTTCCATAACTTTTTCCATGTCCATGTTGTAGCAGTAAAACACTCGATGCACAATAATTCGTATGTGGCGTGTTCAAGTTCATAAAAGTTCTGACACCAAATTCTCACGTGTCTTGAGATCGAATCTCGTCGGTCACGTGTGTAAGTTCTAATCCCGTCGGTCACGTGTGTAAGTCCAAATCCCACTTCTGACACCAGTTGTCGCGTATCGGGCGTATAACGCGACAAATAACTTCACGCCGCACTTTATATAGCGAACTTTATTTCACATTCGCACTTACAATCACCCAATTGACAGTTTTACGATTACTGCTATCTGCAGTATCACAAATAGTACACTCCAAATGCCACAATACAACTGACTGGTTGCTGGNTGAATAGTCTTCGCTGCTCCCCATGTAGCCTTGATCGGACCATACGGAAAACGGCCACGTGATAGGCACTCTTGTTGCCTGGCGCTGTGTTGCTAGTAACGCTAGCGGTAGTAACCGCTGTTACTACCGTAACAATCCTGCTGCGTCACCGTTACGTTACCGTGTGGTGGACTCCAGGACTCACTGACTGACTCAGTACAACTGACTGTGAATAGTCTTCGCTGCTCCCCATGTAGCCTTGATCGGACCATACGGAAAACGGCCACGTGATAAGCACTCTTGATGCCTGGCGCTGTGTTGCTAGTAACGCTAGCGGTAGTAACCGCTGGTACTA